AAACAGACACAATATCTTATGGAACTTTGTGTCTTGCGACGTCTTTGACAATTCTAATCTCTAAAGATCAAAGTTTTTTACGCGATTTCTGTGACACACTATGGCGAATGTAAGGTTCTATTGTGTTCTATTCAACGCAATCGTTAACAACGACAAAGTCGGTAGCGTTCTTTTATTGAAACGTTTGTTAAATGTTAGTTACAACGTTAGAATAATAGTAAACTTGACGTACCCCCGGGGAACATCTGACTCCATATCGTTTTCATGTTGTACACGACATTATCGATATAATATAGTGACGATTCGAACGAGAATTAAATTTTCTTACGAAATTATAGAGAAAATAAGACACGAAACGTAATAACTTATTATCACAGTTACAAACCAAGTACAGAATTTCAAATTGCAATGGTTCCTCATCCATGTTGCAATGCCATTGATTGTTCTTTGCATCTTTCAAGTCAAACTCTTTCTTCTTAATGTGACTTCCTATGGTTGATTAAATGCATGTACAAAGATTTTACAAATTTAATTTTATAAATTTAATAACTTCCATCGAATTTTACGACCAGATAAAAAAAACTTCGAGCATTTACGTGATTAATTTAAATTTCATACGTGCTGTACGAGAATTGTTTAGAACAATATTTCCATCCGTTGAAAAGAATTTGTAAACTTTATTTGTATCTTTCCTAGCTTCGGTGGAAAAAGGAAGCACATAGAAAACAAGGATTGTCGATTCAATTCTCAAATAAAAGATAAATCTCTCTGATTAATGAAAATTAAAACGATTCATTAGGTGTATACACTAGCGTCGCGTTGCAGCAAAATAACGAAACTATCTATTCGCGATCAAACTAAAAAATCGAATCTTTCAAACGAAGTCACGGAGGAAGTACATATATTTGGGAAACGAAATTGCGTATTTTTGCAATTGGATCTTCCTAATTAGATTCTCAGCCTTAATTTGGTACCCAACTTGAACTGCAGAAAATGCAGAAATAAGAATATTTGAAATTAATTAGTACCGCCGATATATCAACAGATGGCGTCACAATCGCCTAAATCAGGACAGCTTGCACCACTACTTGCGAATAAAATTAATCAATACCTAATAATTATCATTTCGACGTTGTTACAATTCTTATATACATACAATTATATACATATACATATATTTTGACACACACATTTTATATATAAATAAATAAATTACATATTTCGTGAATCCCATTTGTTCCACACGTACATATTATCGATATTTATCCTTTGTCGAGGAGTTGTAGCGATAGCCTAAATTATAAAAACAAAAGATACATATTATGTTAATAGTTCGTTCCTTATCTTTGACAGACAATTGCTCGAAGATATTTTAGAATTTACCTTTTTGAACGTTTTATAAATACAATTAACTCGAAGTAGTGATGATTCATTTTCCTCCGTGGAAGTTGCAAAATTTTCTCTTTCCTTCCCTTCTTCCTAAAATTGAACAAAAATTGCATAGTTATGGTAGAACTTTCTTTCTTAAAATTTTAAAATAAAAGTTGTATATTTGGTAAATTGATGACGGAACACTTACGGTACTATTTTCACATATACTCGAGTGTGATTCTATTGTTTCTTTCAAATTTTCCGCAGTTATACGAGTGTCAATCGAGCAAGTTGTCGATTGCTTTTCCCTATTTTTATCCCTTGAATTACTCGTTAGATCGTCTGAATCATCGTGTGTCAGATCTTTATTAGAATTTCTAATGTTATTTTCATTTGGCTCGATTACTTTGCTCGGTTCGGTTTTATTACCATTTAAAGTTGTTAGTTTTTGTAATTGTTCCTCATCTTGTATATTTTTGTGTTTATTATGTAAATTCTGATTATCATTGGAGTATTGTGTGGTTTGTAATGATACGTTATCAAAAGTAGAGTTGTCTTTGTTAGAAGATTGCGTAATTTGAACGTTTGCAACTGAAACGTCATTTTCTGGAGTTTCTTCGATGTAATGTGACTTTTGTTTTTTCGCAGGTTGTGTCGCAACAAAATCTATATCTGATTTTTGTACGTCCGACTTTTGGCTATTAATGGTATTCAATGTTTCGGGAATAACATGTTGTTTTATGTTTGTATAGTCGCAATTTCCTGACTTGTCGCGATTTTTCTTTTCCGTAGCTTGTGCGGCGATAAAATCTACACTTTGTAATGAATCTTGACTATTGATGTTCAATGTCTCAGGAATGATATGTTGTTTCATGCTCGTGTGATCACAATTGCGCAACTTGTCGTAATTTTCCTTTTCCTTAGCTTGTGCGACAACAAAATCTACACTTTGTAGTGATTCTTGACTATTGATATTCGACGTTTCAGGAATAATACGACGTTGTTTTATATTCATAGATACCGGAATGTTATAGTCTACATTGGATGTCAGATTTTGCGTATCAAGATTTGAAATTTCAGACGAGTCACACTTTGGTTTTCGTCTTTTTAAGAGTTTCGCGAATTTATACATTGGATTGCAATATTTTTCCGTCGAACAATGTAATATTGCAAGAGGAATCTCAGCTTCTGATATCATTCTACGATCATTTGTTTGAAGTGCATTTTCTGGAAAACAAATTATCGGTTAAATAAATAAAGGCGACAAAAGATAACGTACAAATTATTCTATGATATGCGATAATCACTTATCAAGTTATACTCGGAAAAAATAATGTCGGCGGATTGTGTCATGCTACTGTCTGGATACTGCAACGCAATTATATTGCGGGCACAAAGTTCTGCAGTTATTAAACCTGCTCTGTAAAATAATTTTGATTCTCCACCTGAAATATGTTCCTTATTAACGATATTTAATAACATTTTCACTACGATAAATTGTACATACTGTTTTCAATTTTTTGTCCTTTACCTGCAATTTTAATGACTTTTTTATATTTTTTATATTGAGTTACGCTAAAATGTACAAATGTCAGATTCTCAAATAGTTTCGTCCTCTTCTCATTTCGAGACACTGATATTTTCTCTTTGGTCACTAATACTTCGCTAATCGGTGGAACAAAGTTATTCGGGTCTGGAAGCGGTTGGCCATTTTTTACTGCAAATTTAACTTCATCCCAATACTTCATAGTTACTATTGGCAAGGCAGATGCCATGGCACAAGCGAGCTGTTTTACGTTCGAATAAATAATAAAAATTAAAAAAATTTTTAAATTTTAAAGACGAACGAACCAAATTAGAAAAGAACCTTTTGAGAAAAGTACCTTTAGCGTTAAAACAGCTTTCCCTACTGTTAAATAAGTAGATGCCCTTCTCCAAGTGTTGTCATCGATAATCACACCGTCGATTTCTTCCATCAAATTTTTGAGCGTTTCTACTTCTTCGTTGTGTAAATTGGACGTTATTGTTATTATACATGTATTCATTACCCTGGTACATAAATTTCTCATACAAAAAATTCTTATTTATGAACATTTTTAGATAAAAAGAATTTCAAACACTTTACTTAAATATATGATGCTGTAAACCGAATCTTATTTTATCTTGATGCTTCAAGTTATATTCAGTTTCAGTTATTTGAATTATTTCTTCCTCGCGAATAATAAAAGTGCCATATTTCGACTTTAAATCTTTTAATTGACACGTAGATGTGGGTTCGTTACTCTGAAAGAATATAAGAATTTTCATTTTGTTGTACAAAGAACTTTACTGTAAAATTAGTTAAATGTAATACAAATTTCTCATCTTTCAAAGTACCTTTATTTCGCTTAATTGTGTGACGCTGATTAAAGCATGTTCCTTGCTAATTGATCTATCATTCGATAAAATAATGCCACCTTTCTTTCTGCCGATTACTGTTTCTTGGCTTGGTTTTAGATACACGTAATGACCTAAAATTAAAAAGAAATAAATGACATTGTCATCGATGATTACTTTATTTTGAATGAAAATATAAAACACCTTCTTGATCGATCAAGTACCACATTGTAATCTCTTAAAATTACGAATTAAATCACACGCTTGGTTGACTTGGTTGACACATCCAATTATATAGTCTAGCGTTTATATATGCGTATAAAGTATTACATTCATACAGATATTTACTTTCACGCAAGTGAGACGTGAAAATTTCGGAACGGGAGCTGTCCCAATTTATCGGTTCGATTTAGAATATACGAGTTAAACAAATTAAATTTTATGTGGCGGTAGTGTTTTGTTTTTATGTTTCTTGTACGATATAAAGTACACATTTCTGTCTGCAAAAAAGTATGAGATAAGACAAACTTACAAATCCCAAAAACTCTTCTGTTATTTGATTATTTCTCATGCTACCAACCTAATATAGAATTTCCAATTAACCAATCGTGTGCAATCTTGATCGATGAAACAACCAATCACATCTTAGCTCCTTTGGTAAGTCAACTTTGCCATCTATCTTTCTTCTTTCCGTTGCTAGATGTCGAAGTGAATGCTTCGTTTCTCAGAAAAACCAGAAACCGCTGGCTAAGGAAACGAGTAAAATACATTGTAAAATAAAAAGGTAAAGTTGCGTAAATATCATTACGCATCCTTGAGAATCTAATAAATAATTTTATAGAATATAACGTGATAAAATAAAATATTTGTACAATGTTATAATCATCCTCGATTATCCTAATTTCATTCGGTCGATTGATCTTAATTTCAGTATAATGATTGTACAAAATTTGAAAGATGATTGTAAAAGTGCAGTTTTGTATCCGTAATATGTACAAATATGCAAATGTAAAATATGTATAGAGAGAAAAAAGGTTGAAATTATAAGATTTGGTTTAATTTTTTTTTTAGTCTTTCCTGTTAAATGATAAACTAGAGATTTCAATCCTGCTTCATCTATCTTAATGTGTTCCAAGTATTTTACTTTGAAAATTTCGATCAAGTTGGTATTTATATGTAATATCAACAAAATATTTTTGCTTGTAGGAAGAAAATATGTCGAACGGATGAAAATTAGGAATCGGACAAAGCTGATCATATTAAAAGTTCTAAAGCAAATGGTGGAAAAATACGTAGCTACAGTTTTGATTTAACTGTTCCTTCAACTATCTTTCCTTTAAATAATTCTTGTTACTTAATGATATGTAAAATGAAAACTTAATTTTGCGCATTATGTGCATAGCATATCATTTTGCAGTAAGAATTTAATATATACAAGGTAAGGCAATATACATATATTTAATATTTTTTGAAGTAATTATTTCTATTATTATATATCGAATTAAAATAATCGATTTGTAATTTCACAAGCTTCTTCTTCTGTATAACTTATTTTACAAAATTTCTAAAATACAATGATTTCTTTTGGAACTGAGTATAACGATAAAAAAACATCAAAGATCCTGATGTGTTTTCACTGACGCGAGCAAAAACTTTAGTAACGTATGTTTAATTAGTGATATATTTTTCTTTTAGCTACTGTGAGATGAGATTATTTTGATTACGAGTAGTCAAAGTTTAAAAGGTAATTGTCCTGGTCTAATAATAAATAGCTATATTTTTATCATCAGCTATATGAATACCAAAAAGTTGATGAACTTTTGTAGAATGTTAGCGTACAGGTATTGGCGATATGTCTGGAATATTGCACACATTTACTTAGTAATTTTAATTAATTTGTAAATTAATTGTTAAATTTGTTACATTGTAAATTGCTACAATGTTTGTACAACTTGTTCAATTATTGTACAGTTGTTGAATTATATTTGTTAGAATTTGTCACATTATATAATTTTAATTTCTTGTGTCATTCGTAATAACGTTTAACAAACATTATTAGGAATACGATATGCTATCATTTTACAAAAATTTGTCAAGATCAAATTCTCTAGATCTAAACGGAAATGCGTATGCTTTTATGTAGATTTATTATGATGAAATTTTGGCTAGAGTTCTGAATAAAAAATAACAACTGATGTTTGTATATTATACTGAAATTTAATATAGAAGTAGTAGTAAAATTTATCTATTATAAATGCAATTTTATAAACGCAATGTTTTTTTCTGTTGCAGTGTTTCGCTCGAAATACCAAATATCATTAACGAAATAATTGATTGTTATTTTTCAACTCTGCAAAATTTATATTTATACTTTGAATTTATATTATGACCAAATGTGAACGCTTTCGCAACTCGAAAAGTAATGTATGCCGTCGATTAAAATGTTTTTATACGATTGTATACGTTTATACGTCGAATAATATTTAGAAAAAGTATATTGTACATATTTCCCGAAGCTTATCCCCAAGTTAAAAAGTAAGAATAAATAAATAAAGAATAGATCAGAACGATATTTGCGTTGCTCGTGTAAAAGAAACAAGCATGGTTTTTGATTTTGGACGCATACGAGCTATGATCGGTGAAAGTTTGCTGGTCGATGTACTCTAAATCAAGAAACTGTGAACGTGTTAGGTTTGTTCTAAATTTGATCTTAAACGATCTTGTTGTTGTTGTTGTTGTTGTTGTTGTTATTTTTGTATATTTATATTTAATCGTTGTATACTCGGAATAAGAAATTAAAATTTTTGTACATGGTAACAAAAGTATGATCAGTTTGATATCAGTTTTGTTATCTTTTTGAAGATTATCTTCTCGATCTTTTTATTTTTTCTGTTGTCATCCAATATTAAATTGAAAAATTTAAATTCACTGAATTGATGAAATTTAAAATTAAGAATTTAATTTCGGCTTCGAGGAACGAACACTTCGTTAGGTCGATCGTTTGACGGTCATTTAACGAGAAGAATCGAAGAAGAAACTGCTTTTTGTTGTAAAAGGCCACGTACGAAATACGCGCGTCAACGATTTCATCATATAGGTTAAGTATAGATTACAGCGCCAATGAAATGGTGAAACGCGCAACTACCTACCTATATACAGCGATATTCAAATATAATCGATATAGATAATTTGTTGCGATCGATCTGTAATATCGAGATATAAGTAAATATCGACATGTAAGTAAATACATAGTAGAAGCGTCAGTTTTAGGCGGGAAGTACAGCGAGAGAAAGCATCATCCGGAAGTTGCTCAATAAAGAATCAATATAGTGCTTAAACTTAGTTTTCCTTTGTCCGATACTTTGTTAGAATAGTGAACGTTATTTAACAGAGTTAACACTACGTGTCTTCGATCTCCAGTTTCTTGTTAGTTGGAACTAACTGATTTCAAATAAGTAACCTGCAAATTGTATATGGTTGTATATGTATCGCGGCTATCGCGGAATCCATGCTTCTAATCGAATCCAGTAAGTATTGATATATTGCGACCGCGGTGATTTATATTTTAGGTTAAAGAATCTAAAGAACTACGTGTATGCTGTATACCTTGTTGTAATTGTATTCCGTGTTGAGAAAACAATTATATTTTATATTCATCGATTGGATTAATTCTATTTGATCGAATGAAACATGATATTTATGTGCGGTCGTTGATATTTATGTACGTATAAATGTACACGGCACGTAATATGCCTATTGTTGAAAACATTTTCGTACGACGTTTTCTTTTTCTCATAAATCGATCGAATCGCATCGTTGCATGCTCAGTCTGCCTCCTCCTTTCTCCTCTTGCTTCCTCCTACCTCGTCAAATTAGTTGACAATAAGAGTTGGTTAGTCTGTTGAAAATCATGGCATTAAGATGTAACATATTGTAGATGTGAGATATTTATTAATGTGTGTACATATTATTCATATTCTTATCTAATTGACATACGTTTCTATCCAATAACTTTTATACGTTTATTCGAGAGTAATTTCTTTTTCTCTTTTGATTTTTTTTTAGTTGATTGCGAGGAAAACTTTGAAACGAGGGATATATCGTGAGATTACACGGAAAAACGTGACGTGATACAAAAAGACGCCATGGCGATTAACGATAACATAACACATTCACAAAGGTACAATAATATTTGATTTGTTTTAATAAAAGTAGACTGTTTTTAGAAAAGGGAGCTATTACACGCAGCTATTACGTTTGAATATGTTCTGCGCATTGCGTGTATTACGTATTTGTGCATTTGTGTTTAACTAACTGAAAACAGCTAAAAAAACAGCGCCATATTTGATCGATATATAATACGACGTACATTTGGTACTCTAATATTCTGTAATAATATTACAGGATATTTATATATTTATAGTATTTGAAACACTTTACTACGCTACATTATCACGTTTGAAAGCTAAGAATGTAAGAATGTTTGTTGCACATTGCATTGAAATTATTATTAATTAAAAAATTCTTTCCATTCTTCTTGTCGTCACTTTTAATTCTATTCCGTGTATTTCACGGTAATTATTGTCAATTACAAAAATATAATCTAATTAAAAATTTGAAAAGTTTAAACTTTTCATTTTTGAATTGAATATGAATATCAATGTTATTAACGTTACGTTTAATTGTGATGATTGATATTTCGTGATTTTAAATTTTTCAACTAGTTGAAACGCTAACGACTTGAAAAATTCTTCGAGAACAAACAATTGAACGTATATTTTCTAACAACGTATATTCTCTCTCTACAGATTTCTTACAATCTTTACTTTTTCAATGGAAGCCGACGATTCGATTACTTCCCCTGGGACACTTACATCATCGAGAACAACATTTTTCGCACGTAATGGTGAGTTGCATGGATTTTCGTTCCTCTGGTCGCTCATCGTGTCGTAGGATGAAAGATCCGAATCGACAAGGGTGACTGGTTGTATCGCGTAGAATTTCTGACGAGTATAATATGACTGCGGATCTTTGTTATACCCGTGAATACAATATAATACTTTTTTGTTTCCGTTTCATCTATTTTATCAGGCTCATCAAAAGTGACAAATCAGTGTGTATGTATCCGTGATTCGGTTCGGTACGATTGTTTTATCCTTTATGTGCGAAAAGATATTTCAGAATCGAAGCAACAGTTTTAAAAACGATACGTTTTTAAAGATACTTCCT